TCGAAACGGTCCGAAACAGTACCGTTTCGACCGAAACACTGGAATTTTGTGATTCAACTACTGTTTCGTTTCGGAGTGTTGAAATTCCGAAACGTTTCGGACGTTTCGGACGTGTCGACACGACATTTTGATCCTTGGCTCTACTTTCCATGTGTATTCATGTCTGGATTCTCTGGGTTGTATTTCAGGTTATTATCCCTTTGCTAGTTACCGAAGAAGAGAAAACTCTTGTCACTTGTGTAAACTGTTTAACTAAGGTACTTTCTTCTCTATTAATGTAGGCTGAATTATGTCTGGGTATTTGTGATTCTTATTCACAAGATATTTGTTTTGCCTGCATGAAGTTGCATTTTATCACGAAGATTTGCAATTAGAAAAGTTGTATAGCTGTATTTGGTTCGTTTTTACTATTCTTTCCTAGAGAGAGCTGGCTTTGACACAACGGTAAGGTTGTGTTAGGAAATAATCTCTCTGCATGCGGAAGGCTGCATACAGCTGATGCCCCAAACCTGTAGTAGCGGGAGTCTTGTGCAGTGGACTAGTTTTGTATTTATCATTATTGTTTCTTGTATGATACATGTGTCGCTTTGTTTTATCTTAATGTTTATCATGACACAATGCAAAGGATTTTTTATGTTTGGTGAAGATTTTGTTAAGCTTCTGTTTATGTGTTCAGCTTGTCGGCAGGCTGTCCCAAGAGGAACTAATTGGTCATTTACCATCATTTTTGCCTGCTCTTTTTGATGCATTTGGGAACCAGAGTGCGGACGTTCGCAAGGTAAGTGATTATGTCTTTGTCTGGATTTGTTAATTCTTTTGTACTGAACATACGTGTGTATCTGTCTGACAAATAGGAATTAAACTGAAAACTTCAATTTCAATTGCCCATTTTGTACACTCAGCAGCACAACTTCCTGTCAAAATACTCCCCCTCCCTTCTCTTCTTGATTTCAAGTTTAGATTGGGGAGAAACGAGAGAGTTGTTTTACGAAGTAATCTTATGATAATATGAGGTACTGATGCAAGTAAGCATGTAAAACACGTGTATAAGGAACAAGAAGGGGGCCGAGAAAAAGATGAAACCAAATTGTTGATTTGTGCATGAATATTGGTTAAGAATCCTACTCTAGGTATGTTGATCATATCAGAATATCAGTCCTAAAAACTTCAATTAATCTGTTGATTTTTAAGAATTCAAGAAGACTTGGGGAAAAAGAGAAAATATTCTCTATAATATTAATTCACCATAAACTTCTTTGACTTAAGGCTCACAGGAGTTTATATAATAGTAGAAACCGTAACCAACTAGGAAACTGTAATCCTAATTAAATTAGGAAATAAATAAAATCTTCTAGAATTCCCTAATTGAATGGGATTGACAACGTTCAAATAAAATACCATAATTTTGGCCATCCGCATAATTCTTCCCAAGTTGAAAAGAAGTTGTCACTTTATTTTTTGAATATTCGCTTAAATTTGGGTTTTTGATCAATCCATTAAATTTGGGTTTGACCTTTTTTTTTTTTTTTGATGGGAAACACAAACTCTTGTAGTAAAAATAAATAAAAGATCAGTTACATAAAAAGAGGTTGAATAAGTTATCCAACTAAAAGCAATAAAAAAAAAAGGAATAAAAAGAGCCTATAATTCCCGCTAAAATAGATAAAACGAATTTCCATTGAATTCCTTTGACACCGAAGCCTAAAAAAATGCTAAGAAATGAATGTGGTTCCATATTCCATCCACACATTCATTCCGATATTTAAAAATTCCTGTGTTTTGTTCTTTCCAAATCGTCCAAAATGTAGCCATTATAGCACAATTCCGAAGAATAACACATTTATTAAATCTTCCCATATCTTTTATATCTTCAACAAACAAAAACATTGATGTTGATGGAATCACCCAATTCAAGCCCACTTCACGAAACAGATGACACCACAATGTCAAAGCAACTGGACCATGTAGAAAAAGATGATCAATACGTTCGACATCACCTTTACATATCATACACCATTAGGGGAGAAGGCAAGAGTGAGGGCTCATTTTCTAAAGCATGTCATTAGTATTGATCTTACCATGTGTAACCGTCCATGCAAGTATTTATATTTTAAGGACTTTAGCTTTCCAAATCATCAAAGCAGGAATGAAAGATGGTCAATTATTTTGATTCAACAAAGAATCCAAAAACGATTGACATGAAAAGACTCCCAAAAATCAAGTATCAATCTTGTTTATTCCAAGACCAATGAATGATGAACTCATTATTAAGAATATCAAAAATAGAAATCAAATCATTGCTATCTCTATCGTCTAAATTCCGACAAATTATTATTATTGAATTTGGTTTTGATATATGAGTCTTTGTCTGAATTTAGCTTTTCAACTAATCCAAAATTTCTGAACATAAGGCGTTACTCTTGGATTTTTTTTTGTCTTTACTTACAATAGCCAGATCTACTACATTACCGAAAGATTTGATCAACTTTGGTCCTCTATCGTCCGGTACAAGAGTGAATATGGAGCCATCAATTTCATAGCAATACTTGTTAAACATGAACTTTGGAACCAACTATGATGTTGACCCATTCCTTCACTTTGCGCATCCACATAAAAAGTAGGACTATTTCTATTTTCCAAACCAGCAGTCCAAGAAGAGCATAAACCAAACCATGCATACATTGTATCAGTGCCTTCTGCATAATTTGATACTTCAAAGCAATATGTGTCACGCAATTATTCCAAAATAGCAATTGGAGGACCATCTTTGAATTCCAATTTTGTACCCGATCTCGCATAAAACAACTGCCATAGTGACCATTAGTTCTTGTTGCGGGTCAACTACCAAATCAGAAAAAACCTTGATTTTATTAGGGTCTTCAATAATGATTTGACAATCATCATCCAAATATTAGTCATGTATTGGGGATTCACCATCATCTTTGATAGTGATTAGAGAATCATCTTTTGGATATTCATCAAATTTTGGAGATAAATCCCAATTAACTTGGGATTGCAAATAAGATGGATCGTTATCAAAAAATCTCTTCCTCATCCTCCAACAATAGTGTAATTTGGAGTCGCGGTTGTGGTTTTATGGCAGTTGTTGTCACTACGGATGTTGTTGAACAACAGCAATTGATGTTGCCATCTACTGGGCTAAAGCCTCAATCTATTATTTTATCCTTTCATCCGTGGTGTTGATCTCAACTTCATAGATCTCCTCCATAGGTCATCTTTTTGCTGGCATAATGACAGGAACGTAACTGAGTTCTGATACCAATAGATGCATGAAAGCATGTAAAAACATGTGTATAAGGAACAAGACGGGGTCCAAGAAACAGATGAAACTAAGCTATTGATTTGTGCATAAATACTGGTTAAGAATCATAGTCTATGCCTGTTGATTCGCTCAAAATACCTGTTTTAAAGACTTCAATTGATTTGATTTCTAAGAATGCTTGAAGAATTGAGGAAAGAGAGAAAATCTTTTCTATAGTATTATTTCATTAAAAACTTCTTTGCTCTAAGGCTTACACAAGTTAATATAATAGCAAAAACCCTAAACCAACTAGGAAACTAGAATCCAATTTGAATTAGGAAATCAAATAAAATAAAATCCTAATTGAATTATAAAATAAAATAAAATAATTTTCTAGTTAAATGAGGAAATAAATAAAATCTTCTAGAATTCCATAATTGAATGGCATTGACCATGTTCAAATAAAATATTAGAACCCATACTGCATCAGGTACTTTACTTTCTAGAATGTTGCGATGGTGGAACATTTATTGTATTGTAACATTTCCAAATTCCCTTCAAAGGACACATGAGTTATGTTTGGTTCAAGGGATGGGATACCTTGAAATAATGATCAACCAATTTTCAGCAAGACAAGCCAACATTAGAAGTACTAGATGGCGATGCTAGTGGAGGCGACACCATATTTTGAGTGTCCTTTTGTTGTTTTTGTTGTAATTTTCAGGCAAAATTCTTATATTCCCATTGAAACCATTATAATTCTCTCCAAATGGGTTCAACCTATAGAGGATGATTTTGTCATTCACAACACCTGATGAACAAATCCAAGATTCAACAGAAGACAAAATTTCTATTTGTTATTACTACTAGTTGTAGATGTACGTTGTATGTGGACTAGTTTGAGCTATAATTTTAATGTTTATTTCTTATTTTATTCATCTTGATTAACTAATACTATAACACATATACTAACTTCTGTTCTGTAGTTGATATGAACTTTAATCCCTACGAATCCTAGGACTTTTTCATGAATAAGTTGGTTAATTTTCTTCACGCGAAATATGAGGAGGAATGAGCTGAAAATCAATTAGATTTGGCATACAAGAATTTTCGGTTAGTAGCAATGTTTCAGTTTTTCGATGGGCACATGTCAATTGCAAAGGATAAGTAAAAACATTGGCCAATAATATTTTGGCAAAAGAAGAGTTACTAATTTTTGGGTGATAAACACTATCATAGTATGAGTCACTTATGTGATCTAAGGGGTGTTCAATTTCTTAGAAATGATTTTTCATTGGTAGATCAGAATTAGAAGAGCTCAAAAGATTTAGAGGTCAAATTGATGTTGTCAATTTTAGAGGAAGTAGGAAGGCCTTCATTTTTGCTCTAATAGGATATGGAATGGACTTTATAATATTGACCATGGATAAAACATAAAATAAAAAAAATTTATGTTTGTTGACAATTGTAAGTGGATCAATATAAGTTATATTTTTAGTTATTATTTTGCTTTATGTGCATATTATATGCACTAAAATAAAAAAACTAATAATTGAGACCAACTCGTGAAGCTTTCTAAATTATGGATATAAAGAAATAATTTGTTTTCATTAAATCTTCAAACACTTTATATAAGAATTTAGAACCAGTTTCTCTCTACCAATAATTTTAGTGAGGAGTAATGTCCTTGTTCAGTTGTAACTGTGTTGCAAGCTCAGTAATCTAGAGCAGAAATACTGAAAATAGGAAACTGTTTTCAATAGTGGACGACTACGATATTGGGATCAGTACCATACCAAAAGTTAGAACATTTAAAAGTGAAGTTAAAGTACAAAATGGTTTAAGTTACAACTCAAAATGGTCTAAATTATAACTTTTTTTTTAAAACTGTCTAAATTGTAACTCAAAAAAATGTTATGATCGATCCAAAAATATTGAGATCGGTCATGAAAAATAATTTTTTTTAAAAGTAAAGTCATACCTTGCAAAACAACAAATATAATTGATTGAGATAATTCATGATCAATCACAACATGTTTTGATCGATAACAACAACAATAACATGAAAACTGGACTTCAATCAAGTGTAACTATTACAGAATGCAGTTCAATTTGACATCTACATAAAATATAGGAGAACAGTTCAAATAAGCCATTTCAATATAACACATCAACAACTAAATCCTAATAAGGCATTCTGTGAGTCATGGGGAAGAGAGATCAAGTTCTTGTGAACATTAATTGATTTAATGGGCTTAGTTGCTAAAAATGTTGCGTAATGCAGAGCTATGAAAATATAATTTGCACAGGTGCACTTCTTTAGGCCGAATGCTGCAACTGCAACCCATCCCTAGAACATAAGAAAACTGAGCTTCAAATTGATCGGTTTTTTTTTTCAAACAAGTAAAATATTCCTTGATTGAACCCTGTTGTTGTGTGATTATCTAGTCATATTATCAACAAATATCTAGTAGTTAGATTTCAAATCTTTGTTGAGTTTTATTTGTCGCTCAGCATTAAAAAGTGGTCTATTTTTAATATGAGTTCCTGGATGGCAGACTGTCGTTTTTTGTCTAGTGGACATCTATATCATGCTTGGGAAAGCATTCTTGCCATACTTGGAGGGGCTTAATAGCACACAATTGCGATTGGTAACAATTTATGCAAACAGGATATCGCAGGCCAGGACACGTACTCCAATAGATGCAAACCATGTTTAGCTGGCTTTGTAGGTGTATATTTGTGGGTGCGGTGAGTTGGTTTTGGTCATTCATTTGTTGTGTATCTTGTATATTGTGGGAAATGTGCCATTTGAATGGTGGGTCATTATAATTTTTTTAATATAAAAATTGTTTATTTTGTCCTTTTCACTTGTTTGATTTGGAAATGAGGAAGAGAGGTGGTGATGGGAGACAAATATGTGAAATTGTGCTGCTGGTGTCCATAACGAAATCTGCATTTTCTGCAAAATCATCCTCTTTTGCATGGATGTAGGAAAGAAATGTGGTTTTGGTCAATTATGAACGTTCAATGTAAAACATTGGCACGCATCTGTTGGCAAACTGACTTGTGTGGCAGGGCAGGGACCTCGTTTATGGGCTGTGAGATTTTGTACGAAGCTATTTTACATTTCATGTGGTTGAATCAATTTTTTATTTTTGAGTGTGTTATGTTAGAGTTTTTTATATACAGAGAGTTGCTCCAATAATGTGTTGTTTGGATTCATCGTGTCAATGTTAAAACCAGGTGCAACGCCTCACCTTGGCCTTCTTTTGTGGTGAGACTCAAACTAGATACCTCGGTATATTTGACTACTGAAACTGTATGAGCTACCATGTTCAAACTTCCTAGATTTCTGTACTTGGAGGTGATCTTTAAATGAGTTTTATTTGAGTTGTACTTGGCAAGTGAAGTAGATGAATTATGGGTCCTATGTAAACAATATCATACGGCATCTCTTATTTGGGTAAATTATCCTCTACTGTAGAGCATGGCCAATCACTTTTGATTTTTGTTGTAAAAAACACAGAAATGTCCATCTATATCCTGTGGTTCACGGGTAGGGACAGATTTGGCGTAGTAGTAAGATTATTTTATTGTGGCATGTGCATTGCTGGCTTGAGTCAGAAATAAACTTCTTGTATGTGATAAGGTTATTTGGATTGAACCTTTTTTGAGCCCTGTATTATTGGGAGTCTGTCATTAAATAGGCTTATCTAAAATTCCATACAGATATGGCATCGGGTCGATAATGCTACACTGATGAAATTGACCTTTGGGAGGGGTTTTTTGATTGTATTGAAAAAAAAAAAATAAATAATGCAATTTACATGGTAGGTCACAAATAACTCAACTCTACCTCAAGATTCATGCCTATGGTATTTCTGAAAGTGTTATGTATTCATCAATTCTCCAACGTAATGCTCAGTTTCATTTGAACTTAGAACTTACAAAGCACCAAATGCGACATAGGCCAGGTTGTTAGGTGGCAAATAACTGATGTGACAAATGGCTTTTCAGATCAAATTACAAAGAAACCCGTAGTCCAATTGCTACATTATAATTTCATCACTTTAATACCAAAATAGTAATTGGTCAAAAAAAAACACCGAAAGAGAAAAAAGAAAAGAAAAGAATAGTGATAGAGATAGAACCTTGGAAACTAAAACCAAGAATTCTATAACACCTCTCTCCCCCCCCANTGAACATTAATTGATTTAATGGGCTTAGTTGCTAAAAATGTTGCGTAATGCAGAGCTATGAAAATATAATTTGCACAGGTGCACTTCTTTAGGCCGAATGCTGCAACTGCAACCCATCCCTAGAACATAAGAAAACTGAGCTTCAAATTGATCGGTTTTTTTTTTCAAACAAGTAAAATATTCCTTGATTGAACCCTGTTGTTGTGTGATTATCTAGTCATATTATCAACAAATATCTAGTAGTTAGATTTCAAATCTTTGTTGAGTTTTATTTGTCGCTCAGCATTAAAAAGTGGTCTATTTTTAATATGAGTTCCTGGATGGCAGACTGTCGTTTTTTGTCTAGTGGACATCTATATCATGCTTGGGAAAGCATTCTTGCCATACTTGGAGGGGCTTAATAGCACACAATTGCGATTGGTAACAATTTATGCAAACAGGATATCGCAGGCCAGGACACGTACTCCAATAGATGCAAACCATGTTTAGCTGGCTTTGTAGGTGTATATTTGTGGGTGCGGTGAGTTGGTTTTGGTCATTCATTTGTTGTGTATCTTGTATATTGTGGGAAATGTGCCATTTGAATGGTGGGTCATTATAATTTTTTTAATATAAAAATTGTTTATTTTGTCCTTTTCACTTGTTTGATTTGGAAATGAGGAAGAGAGGTGGTGATGGGAGACAAATATGTGAAATTGTGCTGCTGGTGTCCATAACGAAATCTGCATTTTCTGCAAAATCATCCTCTTTTGCATGGATGTAGGAAAGAAATGTGGTTTTGGTCAATTATGAACGTTCAATGTAAAACATTGGCACGCATCTGTTGGCAAACTGACTTGTGTGGCAGGGCAGGGACCTCGTTTATGGGCTGTGAGAATTTGTACGAAGCTATTTTACATTTCATCTGGTTGGATCAATTTTTTATTTTGAGTGTGTTATGTTAGAGTTTTTTATATACAGAGAGTTGCTCCAATAATGTGTTTGGATTCATCGTGTCAATGTTAAAACCAGGTGCAGCGCCTCACCTTGGCCTTCTTTTGTGGTGAGACTCAAACTAGATACCTCCGTATATTTGACTACTGAAACTGTATGAGCTACCATGTTCAAACTTCCTAGATTTCTGTACTTGGAGGTGATCTTTAAATGAGTTGTACTTGGCAAGTGAAGTAGATGAATTATGGGTCCTATGTAAACAATATCGTACGGCATCTCTTATTTGGGTAAATTATCCTCTACTGTAGAGCATGGCCAATCACTTTTGATTTTTGTTGTAAAAAATACAGATATGTCCATTTATATCCTTTGGTTCACGGGTAGGGACAGATTTGGCGTAGTAGTAAGATTATTTTATTGTGGCATGTGCATTGCTGGCTTGAGTCAGAAATAAACTTCTTGTATGTGATAAGGTTATTTGGATTGAACCTTTTTTGAGCCCTGTATTATTGGGAATCTGTCATGAAATAGGCTTATCTAAAATTCCATACAGATATGGCATCGGGTCGATAATGCTACACTGATGAAATTGACCTTTGGGAGGGGTTTTTTGATTGTATTGAAAAAAAATAAATAAATAATGCAATTTACATGGTAGGTCACAAATAACTCAACTCTACCTCAAGATTCATGCCTATGGTATTTTTGAAAGTGTTATGTATTCATCAATTCTCCAACGTAATGCTCAGTTTCATTTGAACTTAGAACTTACGAAANCGAGCACCGTTCCATTGACATGAAAAACGCCGCTGTGACACCGTTAATGAGTTTTGTAGTCACCCCATCAACCTTTTTGGACACAGGCAAAACACTGATGAGTGGTTTTGTCTGGACCATGGGTTCATGTTCAACCAATCCCTCTTTGGGAGAGAACACATTGACGCAGCAAACAGATTTACAGGTATTGCTCATTAGCTGGATGGAGAAGAAAAAGATGCTACGCACACGGAGAGGTTGATAGGTTTTAAGGGGTCTCCATGGGTTTATATTTCTTCTCTCATAAACTCAAGCTTTTATAACCCCCCCCCCCCCCCCCCCCCCCACCAAAAAAAAAAAACAAAAAACAAAGAATGCGAAGACAGAGGGGGTGTGGGAGTAAATACTTTAAAGGCTCCGCGGATTTGACTATTCTGTGCACTCCCCTGCACCCCTAACATAAGTGAGAACTTTGGTGGGATAAAAGAGAGCATGGAAAAAGAAAGAATGATGTAAAATTGTATCTCATAGAAATTTGACTATGGTGTGCACTCCTCTTGACCCCTATTACGTAAGTGAGAACTTCGGCAGGATAAAAGAGAGCATGAAAAAAAAAAGTGATATAAAAGAGTATCCTATAAAAATCAAATCCCGTGGAAAGTGTAAACTTTTATGTCCAAAACCCCCTTAACCACTATAGTTCGAACACTTGATACTAATTATCACCAAAATATATATAAAAAAAAAAAAAAAAGCGAGGCCCAAAGTTTTTTCGGAAAGTGGTGAAGCCCAAAATTTGAATTCACAAAAAAGCCCTGAACCTATGGCAAGCAATGCCACCTGTAGCCCAATTATTGGGGCTAATTGTAGGCCCATTTAAGACCACAGGCCCCAGCAACCGCCAAAAAAAACCACCAATCCGAAAAAATCGAGTCCATGTAATTCGTCGCTGCTTGTGGACTCAGCAGCCTCCAAAACCCTAAACCCTGAAAATACGTTTCTTCTAGATTCTTCTGTCTCACACTCCCCTGTCGTCTTCTTTATTTACCCTCTCCTCTTGCTGATCACCTGCTTTCCCACTTAAATTCCCCAAAGCCCTAAATTTCTCTCTCCTCTCTCATCATTTTCTCTCCAAGCTCCAGAAACCATGTATCGCTTCGCCGCCAATCTTGCTTCCAAAGCCCGGTAAGTACTATAACATCGAGAATGTATTAAACTCATATCTTAAAGTCCTTGTTTTTGTAGTTCGAGATCTAAATTTTCGTCTGTGTTCTTTTTTTTTGGAGGAATTGTAGGCTTGCTAGGAATAATACTCAGCAGGTACAGATAGTTTTGTACAGTTTGATGAGTTTGTGTAATAAATATTTGATCTTCGTTTCGTGAAGTTGATTTTTGTGTGTGTGCGCGTGTTGCGGGTTCAGGTTGGTAGCAGGTTGGCTTGGAGCAGAAATTATGCCGCGAAAGACATAAAATTCGGTGTTGAGGCGCGAGCGTTGATGCTTAAAGGTGTTGAAGAGCTCGCTGATGCCGTTAAAGTTACAATGGGGCCGAAAGTAAGTCATCATTGAGGATTTTGAGTATGTTGTTGTTTCGGTAATTAATGGACTTGAATTATTTGAAAACAGTGTCAGTGGTGAACTATAATAATTATATATTTTTTCATGAAATTAGAAAAAATCTTGGTGACAATTTTGCATATATGAAAAAACTGTGGCATCTTTTTAGCTATTAAGCAATATCCAAATGGATGATATCTGTTATGCCTACTAGCATGATCATTGACTAGCGTGCTCCAAATTTGGGAGGAATGGAACTTGACATGAAAAAGGAAATCAGAGGAAAGGGATGGTTGTCCTGTTCCCTTTTGTGAAGGAAATATGGAGGGAGAAGTATTTCCATTGGATTTGTTCTTAACGTTTTCAGAACTCCGACAGATAGACAAGTCAATATGGTGAATGTAGGAATTTCATTTCTTTTTTCCCCCTTGTTGGGCAGGAAGTTGGTTCAAGGTATTCTGTTTCCCACTACCATGTGATGGGAATGTATCCTGCTTTATTCATTTCATGAAGGGATGTTTCCTGTTTTCTCCATTTCAATTCTATGTTGCTGCTGTCATTTTGTCCTTGGAGTGTGCATGGCTGCTATGTCCATATTTCCCTATCCAGTATTTTTTGGTTATATGCTCGTGAGTTGTTTGATGTGATGACCAGTGTTACCCATTTGCCTTTTCTAAAGGGACGCAATGTTGTTTTGGAACAAAGTTTTGGAGCCCCTAAAGTCACAAAGGATGGTGTTACTGTGGCGAAGAGCATTGAGTTCAAAGACAGATTCAAGAACATTGGTGCTAGCCTTGTAAAGCAGGTTGCTAATGCTACAAACGATGTTGCAGGCGATGGTAGGCTTCCTTACATACTAATAACGCTTCCCTCGTAGTTTTTTGTTGAACTAAATATTGTTGCTATTGATGTGTAGCTTGATTATTACAATAGTGGTATCTTCTTGACAAATATTACTTTTGACCTCCACCAAATCTCAATCAAATTGGAGGAGCCTCCTGAGTTCATGGGTGGTGATAAGAATGCTTGTTCGACATGTTTTCAGGTACGACTTGTGCAACAATCCTCACCCGTGCTATATGTTCTGAAGGGTGCAAGTCAGTGGCAGCTGGAATGAATGCCATGGACTTGAGACGCGGCATCTCAATGGCAGTTGATGCTGTGGTGACAAACTTGAAAAGCAGGACACGGATGATCAGCACATCTGAAGAAATAGCACAGGTTTACTTTATTGAGTTCTTTCTATTTAAAGAATAAACATGTTATCGAAAGTTCTTGGCCCTTGGGAATTGAGGGTACTATTGTGGCATTATAGCAAATGATTTACTGTATTACTGATCATTTATTTCAAAAAGGTTGGCACAATATCAGCAAATGGGGAAAGAGAGATTGGTGAGCTTATAGCAAAGGCTATGGAGAAAGTTGGCAAAGAGGGTGTTATTACCATTGCTGTAAGTGGCTTTCTTCTTTATTTGTTATTTTTAGTTACCCTCATTGCTTGCGTATTTGAATTCTTCAATTACTGTGGCCCCCTCTCCTCTTGCTTCCTTTTCCCTTTCCTCTTCTGTAAAGGATGCTGTCAATTGTGTGTGATGTCACCAAATAACGGTTGTTACTTGTTATTAACAGTGGCTTGTACATTGAGCCAAAGAGGATGTTCTTAACAATGGAATACACACCGAGGGTTTTAGCACTCTAAATCTGTTGCTATGTTCAAAAAATAATAATTTTTTTTTGTATTGTAATTTCTGTGGAGGGTTGATATGTTTCTTACTGTGCTAATTTTTTCATTTGTTTCTTTTGGTTAGCTTGTACTACCTTTGTAGCAGTGAGTATTTATCCCAAAGGAAAATAAAATAGGATCTGTGATAGGAGGAGTGTGTGCGCCTGCATTCTTTCATGGGGAGTTCTCTCGTAAAAATGTAAAACCACTGAGGTTCTCTTTGGTATTGATTTAATTTCTGTGGTAACTGTTGCAGGATGGGAAAACCCTATACAATGAATTGGAGGTGGTTGAGGGAATGAAGCTGGACAGAGGCTATATATCCCCTTACTTCATCACCAATCCAAAGAACCAAAAATGTGTCAGTATTTTATTTTTCTCTGAACCAGTTACCGCTTTATAACATGCATCACCCATTTATGATTTCTCAGCAGTTATTGGTTGGGCTTCTGCGTGGGATTTTTCGGTAATTTTATCCCCTTGCACAATACATCATTGCAGGTTTACCTTCTAACAGAGTTTCCCCCCATTTTATGTTCAGGAATTAGAAGATCCGCTTATTTTAATTCATGAGAAAAAAATCTCAAGCTTAAATGCTGTGGTGAAAGTGCTAGAGTTGGCACTGAAGGTAAACAGTTAGTGTGGGCTAACTAGTATAATTTATGTTTATCTTATTTTTATTTTACCAAGTTTATTTGTTTGCTCAGAAGCAAAGACCTTTGCTGATTGTTTCTGAAGATGTGGAAAGTGAAGCCTTAGCCACTCTCATTCTCAACAAGCTTCGTGCTGGAATCAAGGTGTCCCGAAATTCTTATTATAAATATATAACTTCTCTGAGTCCATTAACTTAGGAAGCCATCTGCATAGGTTGGGTATGAAACTCTATCTTGATCTAATTGGAGATAAACTCATAAACCCGTAGGTTTGTGCCATCAAAGCTCCTGGGTTTGGAGAAAACAGGAAGGCAAATTTGCAGGACCTTGCTATCCTCACAGGAGGCGAGGTAGATTCATTTGTTATTATCCTATTCCATCCCCACAATTTTTCATGTTGTGCCTTTTTCTATTTAAAAATTTATATTGCATATTCAATATATATATATTTTATTTATTTATTTATTTTTGTTCACAATGAATTGCATAGGTTATAACTGACGAGCTTGGTTTGAACCTGGAAAAAGTAGGACTGGAAATGCTTGGCACATGCAAAAAGGTGTGTAGAACCATGCAGTTCATTGCATGATTTTTTTTTATTATATTTTGTATTGTATTTTTTTTTCTTTCCGATGGAAGTTTGGGTTTGTCTTCCATTGTTCTTTATCTGACTGTTTGTCTCATCCAGGGAGTCTGGTTATGAAATTGGAGACTAGTCATTGTTGAATGAGTTGATTTTTACATGTTGACTTTTGTGTTGATTTTTACATGTTGACTTTTGTGTTGATTTATGCAACTTATATGATGGATGTGTAGGTTACAGTATCAAAGGATGATACCGTTGTCCTTGATGGTGCTGGTGATAAGAAAGCAATCGAAGAAAGATGTGAGCAAGTGTGTACCACCATTTTTTGACTCCCATCTGTCTGGTATTTTGTCAGGCTTTCATTGTGTTCATGCATATTATTTGATTGATGTCTTGCCATTGTATGTTTGTACTTCTCAGCTAAGGTCGTCGATCGAATTGAGCACTTCTGATTATGATAAGGATAAGCTTCAAGAGAGACTAGCAAAGCTTTCTGGTGGTGTTGCTGTCTTGAAGGTCAGCATTCCTTTTGAAGACGACACTATCGTTGTTCCTGCTAACATGACAATGCCAACAACTTGAGGAATTGTCATTTTTGTTTCTATGAATTGGGGAATGCCAACTACTCTTATATAGGCCAAGCAAAAGTTATACATGATCTTCTAAAATTGATATGCAAGTAATGGGACACAGCTTTGTGACGAAAATGATGATGGTAATTCTGTTTATTTGTCAGATTGGAGGAGCCAGCGAAGCTGAGGTCAGCGAGAAGAAGGATAGGGTTACTGATGCTTTAAATGCAACGAAGGCAGCTGTGGAGGAAGGAATTGTACCAGGTCATTCCAGCTGTTAATGAATTTCTACTTTTTTTTGTCTCATGGCAGTGAGCAAACAAAAATTGAAGAGCTTTTATGTGCAGGTGGTGGTGTTGCTCTTCTTTATGCCTCAAAGGAGCTGGAAAAGCTGCATACTGCTAACTTTGATCAAAAGATTGGTGTCCAGATAATCCAGAATGCTCTCAAGGTTACAGCCTGTCATTCATCTGTTTTATTGTCTAATCTTTTACTTATCCTGTAATTTTTTAGCTTGTAGTTGGCTCTTTCTGAACCTTACATGATTGGTACTTGTTTTGCTTAGTGTTGAACCTATATGAAACCTACATTTAATACTCTTCAAATTTTACTATAGAATTCCAATATAGCTTTCTGTGCGCTGTGGAAGACAATAGAAACTTCATGTTCTTTATTCATTTTTGTTGAGTTTTTTCCTTTCGAAGTGGATGGTTGTTTCTTGCAAACACAGAAGTGCTTAATTGTGAGTGAATTTCAATAAAACCTGATGGCATTGTCTCTTTTTATTGGAATAGAAATCATATTTTCTGTGGCTCCAGTTTCATGGCTATGGAGTAGTTGGAATTTGTTGACATTCATTTTACTTGCTGGAACATGGTATTTACACTTCAAATGTAAATTCTATTGCAGTCTTATTTTTGATTACTTTATTCCTCACATGTAAGAGATTTGAGCCTCAAATGAGAGGCAATAATACTATATAATTTTGCATACTATGTGATATTCTGTTTCTCCTGCAGGCTCCGGTGCACGCCATTGCTTCTAATGCAGGAGTTGAGGGGGCAGTTGTTGTAGGCAAGCTATTGGAGCAGGATGATCCTGACCTTGGATATGATGCTGCTAAAGGTTTGCCCTCTCTCTCTCTCTCTCTCTCTCTCTCTCTCTCTCTCTCTGTTTGTGTGTGTGACAGGAAAGGTTGTTTATGACTCACAATATCCCAACTTTGATCATCGTTTTCCTTTACTTCTTCATGCAGGTGAATATGTGAACATGGTCAGCAATGGAATTATTGATCCATTGAAGGTCATTAGAACAGCCTTGGTGGATGCTGCAAGGTAATGCTTTGATTTTTTTTTATGTTTGGTAGAGCCACTGTTCTTCAATGCAAGAACTGAAATGTTGTCTTGTTTTGATAGTGTCTCTTCATTGTTGACTACAACCGAAGCTGTTGTTGCTGAAAGTCCCAAAGATGAGAAGGAAGCACCAGCAATGGGTGGCGGCATGGATTATTAGAATTGATGGTCATGCCCCGATTCAGTCCTCTACCTCAAACAATTGTTTTAAGAACCAGAAACTACATGAATTGGACATATGATTGGTTAGATAGCAATTTAGCTCTTCATTTGTTTAGGTTTTTTTTAAAAAATATTATTCCTTTCGGGAAGCTGGACGACAATACAATCTGGAGAGGTCAGACTATAGGGAGTTCTTTTTGGGATATTATTGGTGGTTTTACTTACTAATTTATCATTTACATAAATAATCAACTCTGATAATTGTTGCCAAGGATATTCACATTGATCAATTCTTAGCTTAGTATGAATTGAAAAAAGAGAGTTGGTTGGAGATTTTTTTGGTGTTGGACTTGAGTGAAATGGCTAAGAAATGAGAAATAGAGCGTAAGTTGGAGCTACTCTAACATTTTATTTTTATATTGTAACAAGTGAATGTCACATACATGTACACAATGAATTGAGTGCGTTAATTAAACTTAGAATTTTATGCATCAGGAAAATTCAAACATAAGATCGGGTGGGTTTTTATGTCTTTGTTCGATTACCTGTCCAATTTAAGCTGGTTGCAAACATGGGAGGAGGAGGCCACATGAGCATAAGCAGAGGCACGGGCTTACCCTTAAATTATTTTGAAAAAATATTACTAATGTATATTTCAAATAATTGTAAGTATATTCACTCTATTACTTTTTGTTCATACAGTCACATAATTAAATAATTATGAATTTTTTGGCACGTCATACTCATTTTTTTAACTATAGAGATTATGAAAATTAGGTTGCATAACTGAATAAGTGATCATATAACTAATCGTTTCATTAATTATATAGAGAGAAATTATAATATTTATTATGCAGTTATTCTTATTTTTGTGAAAAGTTATAATTAATCTTTTTTTTTATTTGTAAATGTTAGACTCTTTTTATATTTTATTATGAATTTTTAAGTATCAAGTACAATAATACAGTAAATTTAAATATATTATTTTAATTAAGATAAATAAATTTAAAATTTTAAAAATGTTCACCTTAAACGAAATTTCTAGTTTCGTTGGGTTCCAATTGGGAAGATATTTTTATTGTTATTATTTTTTCTTTTTTGAACGAGCTAGCAGCATAACTGAAAGTAGTGACATCTCATAACTGTTGGGGGATTTTTTATTTGGGAATGAGCACTGCACACCTGGTTGGGTCACCCCGGCCTCTCGTTAAAATCAAAGCAGTGGCCAGTGGGTGGGCTGCAAGAGGAAGACAAGTGGGGCCCAACCCATCTGACACCCGAAACTGTCGGGCTAAGGGCCAACATGGCACGCCAAGAGCCTGCCACGTTGCACACCTTACAATGCACTCTTTTCTTAATGACTATTGGTTGCCATACATATACCATACCTAATTTCCATTATTCCGCAATTACTATTCTCTGTCATTGCAAGTTATTTGTACTTTGTGATGCGATGAGTCCCGTTTTCATGCATCTTTGTTGTGAAAATATAAAATCAAATCAAATCAAATCAAATATTCAGTGATCAGAATCATGTGATATCTCGTGAGAAATAAAAACTTTCTTCATGATTAATATTATTTAAATTTAATTTATTTCTTGAATTAATCACATATAATTATTGAATTTAAATGGGACTTTTAACATTTATTGGGACCTACACCTACGCATATTAATAGATTGGATTCTGATTTGAATTCAAATTTGAATCTGATTAGCTGGATATAGATTAATATTTTTTTACTGATAATCCGAATTCAAAATCTTATATTTCACGAATTCGAATTTAGATATACATATATCTGAACTGAATTATTTCTATATTTTTATATAAATAGTAAAGATATTAAGTCATTATTTTTAAAAATATAGTTGAAATTTAGGTATAATTTATAAAAATTTAGTTAATTAAATTATTAGAATAGAATTTTGGATTGTTAACGAATTCAAATAAGGATCATGAAAATAAAATCTATCAAATTATCAAATTAGAATCGGATTGGACTTCTGAAATCAGATATGGATTCAGATCAATCAAAATCTTATTCAAATCAAATCAAATCTGTTGACAGGCTTACGTGCAATCAATTCAATGGTTGTGATAAATTAAGTCAACAAATTTTATCGATAAATTAAGTCTAAATAGTATTATTATTTTTCCATCGAGAACAAGAGATATCTATAATATAAAACAAGACAGATTTTAATAAAAAAATTCGACAGTTTTAAATAGACTTATTCAACGGCCACCAATATCTGCTTCAAAATCATTCACATTACACTATACGTTAAAATACGCGTTAACTCTAGTAACTTATAAGAGTTAACACACACCTCGATATTCCTCTTTGTCCATGCGCACTACTGCGCTTATTCACTTTTGCTATGCTTTCTATGTTGTTTTTTCTCCAAATCCCCAGAAATCTATTCGACCCAAAAAATACACCAAGACAAGTGAACGTTGAAGCTGAATTACCATTTATAGATATAGATTTCAGTCACCAAATTCATATAATTTGAGAGTGACTCTGTCCAATAAACTTCTCTTTTCATTAATCTACAATCCAATATGATTGGGATTATTATTTTACCAGAAAAAGAGTGAGTGTTAGAGGCTTTTTGATAACACTACTTAAGGTTTAAAATTGAATATTTTAATCACTTAATAAATTAAACCCGTATGATAACCTAAAACTCATATTACTTAATATTTTAAGTACTTTTTAAAAATAGACTAAAATTTTAAATGACAAACCACCTACTTATTACTTAATACTGAAAATGTTAGTAAGAATTTTTATTAATTTCTCATAATAGACAAATATATTTTCACATCATTGTGTCATTGTCATCACCACCACCATTGTACCATCTCCATCACCACGACCATTGTGTCATCGTCACTACCACCATTATGTCACCGTCACCACCACCACTACCATTATCTCACTACCATCACCACCACAACTATTATGTCACTGCCACTGTCACCTAAAATGTTGTCGTCGCCGTTGCCACCAACACTATTATGATGGCAATGATAAGAATAAGACAGTTGTAGAGAGATAGTTAAAAAGAAAAACAAAATAAGAATAATAAGAATTTTTAGATTTCAACTTTTTATATTTGTCAAATAATTTGATTAAATTTAATACTTAAATTTTAATTGATATCAAACAGTTTGCGAATTAAAAAATTTAACATTCAACATTCAATTTTCAATTTTCAACTTTTAGTTTTATTAAACACTNTTAATTGATACCAAACAGTTTACGAATTAAAAAATTTAACATTCAACACTTAAAATTCAACATTCAATTTTCAATTTTCAACTTTCAATTTTATTAAACACCACCTTAGTGCAAAACTATTATTGTTTCTACTTTTCTCTAAGATCGGGTTCAATTATAGTGTGAACAAGTACTTTTGTATTTCATACAATCAATTTTCATCTAATAAAAATGTGATACATGTAAATTTTTTAATTAATAATTATAAATTATTTCAATCAGAATTAATAAATGGATAAGGTATGATTATAAGAATGGGAGTTATAAAGACCAGGATTAGCAGCTTTCCTCTTAGAATATTCTGGTAATTAACTGTTTGAGTAAGCTTTAAAATAAGAGACAGTTTACCGTTAATTGTCATTTTCCAACTGCAGTAATAGTAATTTTTTATTAGGGGGTAATCAATTCTATAATCATTATTTTAAGTGGTAGTTAAGCTGGCTTCACTTTCTGGCCACAAAATGGGTTTCCTAAGCTTGTCCTTATCAGGCTATCTTAGGACAACACACACCACCTTGATCATACATAATGATTAAATTATTATATTTATATATATATAATATTTTATTTATAGAATAAAATACATAATCCTACTTATACAAAGCACAATAAAAGTAAAAATCGTATAAATTTGACAACTTATATTATGATTTAACTTTAACGGTCCAAATTGTATATATCTGATGACTTATATTACAATTTAAATTTTAATATTTTAACCAAAATTAGACCTATTAATCGGGCCGGGTGAAGTGAATTCGTGTCGAGTTTTAGCGAGTTAATGTCAAAAAAATATTTCACTCATACCCGATTCGTTTATTAATTCATGTTTAACAAGTCGTGTCATATCGGGATTGTTTCTTGTATAAACTGTGTATAGCTGACAAATAAATAAGTTATATCGAGTATTTTTTTTAATTTAATTCACTTGTGTACGATTCGTTTATTAATCATGTCGTATCAAATCCACTAATTTACTAAACGAATAATTTAAAAAATATTAAATATTTTAATTTCATATGTACCGACCAAAATAGCAGTCGATGAAGATAGATAGATCAAGATGCACTGTACGTACACCTCCCTTTAGACTACCCAACAAATTGCGGCGGTGTCATATGAAACATGGCACATCCTGATTTGATAAAGGTCGTGAATATTATTATGAAAGGCTTTTTCTTTTTATTTATTGCAAATTATATAGATTTTTTTTTTTTTGGTAATAAAATATATCAAATGAATCATAAAAAAATATAACGTGTTCGAGTCTTACATTTTTTTTAATTTATGACTACAAATTTATGCATAAATATATGATTTAAAAATCGAGTTTATATTAAATAATAATTAATTATACGAGGGAAAAACCTTACACTTAATATTGATGATAACGAGAAACCTTGAGTGTTTGATTTTTGATAGAAACGAACAAAGTGCACATTTTCCAGCATAATGAACAAATTGTCAAAAACTGAGAGTTGATTGATAGAAGACATTCTAATACTTAAGTCAATAAGGTCTTGAGATTAAGCAAATAAATTGAAAGAAAAAAAAAATATGCACCTTAAGGTTTAAGCTCATCTAACATTTATAAAATCATATGTTGGACCAAGTCGGGCTTAGAATCCTAGTAAAACTAAGGCGGCATAACCCGAGCCTAACGAAATTCATATCAGCCTAATTTGTAATACAATTTGACTTTTAATCGTATTGATTAGTGTTATAGGAACGTGTTTACAACCAGGGGCGCCCAAGACATTTTAGGGCTTAAAGCGAAAACAATAAGTGAGGTTTTTTTTAAAAAAATACTAATAATAAATCTAATTTTTAACTTTTTAAAATAAAAAAATATTAATTAAATTTTTATATTTAATTTTTTGTTACCATATTTGAGCTTAAAGGTTAGAGAGAAAAAAAAAATGAAAAATTATGGTGATAAATATAAACTTTTGTTTTTTGAAAGATAAGACTATAATTTTTTAGTAGTTTTAGTTTTACTGTTAGTTTTTTTTTTTTTTTTTTAAAATAAAAAAATTTTAGGACTTTTTAATTTTACTGCAGTGCTGAATTAATAGA